TTGGATTATTTGTTCCTTGGGTGTTGAATTTGGTAAGTTCTTTATGGATTTTGGATACTAGCCCTTTATCTGATAGGTCATTTGCAAATATCTTCTCCCATTCTGTTGGTTGTCTTTTGGTTTTGTTGACTGCCAAAGGAATTTTTATATGTAAAAACGAGAATTACAGGATCCTGGAGGTCTGGCCAATGTTAAGCTAAGGTTGCCTTTTGCCTCTAGCCAAGTATTAACAAGGAGGCAGTTGAGTTCCTAGAGGAAGGTCACTCTGCCTGTCTCAAGGACTTGTCAATGGGCTGTAAGTAGTATGGAAATTTAATTCTTTTTCTTTTGCCTTTGTTCCCCACATCACTACCACATTACCCAACTATTTTACTCCAAGTGTCTACCCAAGAGAAATGAACACATCTGTCCACACAGAGAACTTTCATGGGTGTGTTCATGACAGCATTTTTCATAAATGTCTAAATGTTCAACCTCAATGTCTATTAACTGATGATCGGATGGAAAAAATGTAGTATATTGCACGATGGACCGTTATTCAGCCACAAAAAGGAATGAAGTATTGATTAATGCTACAGCGTGAATGAACTTAAAAAACATTCTGCTAAGCGAAAGAAGCCAGTCACAAAGCCAAGCCACGTATCATATGACTCCATCTATATGAAATGTCCAGAAAGGTCACATTTTTTGAGATAGAAAATAAATTAGTGGTGGCCTGGGCCTGGGGCTCAGAACAGAGATTAATCGTAAATGTGCGTGAAGGGTCTTATTAGGGAGATGAAAATGTTCCAACACTTATTTATGGTGATGATTTCATCACTTGGTAAAGTTACTTAAAATCATTGAATTCTATACTTGAAATGGGTGAATTTTATGATAGAAAATATACCTCAACAGTGCTATTAAAAAGGGGGGCTAGAGATGGCAAGGAGAAGGTGGGTATAGCTGTTCCCCAAATATGCACCCAACTGCCAGAGGCTTGGGAGAACTCCAGAAAGCCCTCTGGGTGCCCATGGGAGCTCTGGGGTTCCTCTACCCTGAAAGGACAAAGGACGCAGTGAATGAATGCCTTCAAATTGCTCCCATCCAAGGGATGCCTCTCGGCGCTGTGGGCTTTGCCCTTCCTCCTATCCAGATGTGGAGTTAGTTCTTCATCCCCTAGAGTCTTGGCTGGTCCTTGTGACTTGCTCTGGTTAACGGATATGGCCGAAGTGACGCTGTGCCGTTTTAAGCCTAGGTCTCAAGAGACCTTGTAGCTTGCACCTTTGCTTTCTTGGACCCCTGCCCTGAGAATGCCTTCTGAGGGAGCTAGTCCAGCCTGGTGGAGCATGAGGGGCCATATGGGGGGGAGAGGGGGAATTGAGGTCCCCCAGCCAAGGTCACCAACTGCCAGACATGTGAGGCCATTTTGGACCTTCCAGCCCTATTGATACAGATGATACAGCCCAGTGAGTGAGCCCCAGCCCCACCAGTGAAGAACCACCCAGCTGATCCAGAGAACTGTCACAAATAAAGGGGCTGTTGTTTTATGCCATTAAGTTTTGGGATGCTTTCTTATGCAGCAATAGGCAACTGGGACACATACTTTGACTTTGCCTGTCCCGAAGCCATCTTTGTTGCGGTGAGGTTGTGGACCCACCTCTCACACCTGAGTACCAGGTGGCACACCTTTGCCCTCACTCCATCCCATGACCTCTGGGGCTTGACCTAGACACCATTTCTCTCAGGGCAGTGGTTATAAACCTTGGCTATGCAGTAGAATCTTCGGGGAGGTAACTTCTTAAAATTATGAGGTATGTTACAGTCATTTATTATTGTGCAATAAATCATCCTAAACCTCAGGGGCTTAAGACAACAATAATTTACTTTGGTCATAAATCTGCAATTTGGGGAGGGCCTGGTGCTAACAGCTGGTTTCTGCTACATACAGTGTCAGTTGGGGTAGCTCAAAGGCTGGGAGCCGGGATCATCTGAAGCCTGGCACTCTTGCATGTCTGGTGGTTGAGGCTGGGAGTCAGCTGGGAACTGTTGGCCAGAACATCTACATGTGGACATAACATAGTGGCTGGATTCTTAGAATGAGCTCCCCAAGAGAACAAGGCAGACGTACATGGAGTTTGGATGAGCTGGCCTCAGAAGTCATAGTGTCACTTCTGCCATACTGTGTTGGCTGAGATGGTCACAGAGGTCTGTCTGGGTTCAAGGGGGAAGGGCCTAGACCCACCACTGGATGGGAGGAGTACCAACATCACTCTGTAAGAACTTCCGGAAGGAAATCTATTGAGGTGGCTAGCTTTGGAAAATACAATGTGTTTCTGGTTCCTAAGCCCCACCCCTGGAGAATCAATGCTGAAGGTCTGGAGTGAAGCCTCAGGACTGAAGTTTTTACATGTTCCCAGGTGATTCTGTTGTATAACCAGGACCAGGCAATGGCCCTTTGTCTAAGACCCATGGCCCCTCAATCCTGAACTCAGAGCTGTCCCCACAGGAGGTGCAGCAGGGATTGGCTGCTGCCCGGCGTGGTAGTGTGACCAAGGACCCTTTGGAGGGAAACCAGCCTCAGGCCAGCAGGGGGACCCAAGGAGCCAGAGGCCTGCTCTTGTGCAGGGGAGGGGGTGTCCCTAAGCGGGCCTTATTGATGGAGGGGGGTGTCCCTAACCGGCCCTTATTGATGGAGGGGGGTGTCCCTAACCGGCCCTTACTGATGGAGGGGGGTGTCCCTAACCGGCCCTTACTGATGGAGGGGCGTGTCCCTAACCGGCCTTACTGATGGAGGGGCGTGTCCCTAACCGGCCCTTACTGATGGGACCTTTGGGAGCTGGTGTATCCCAGTAGCCTTCTTCCAACCCTGTGTGTGTCTCACTGGCACATCCTGGCTTATAGACGGTAGTCTCCAGGCTGCTGGTGGTACAGTACGATAGGGTGGCACGGCATTTGGTGGGCAGAGTTTCAGTCCTTCTCCCCAGGGTGCTCACTGCCATTTGGTGATTTCCCCTCACAGCTGTTCTCCAGCTTCAGTTTGTTTAGACTGATTCAAGCTGAGGAATGTTGGAGGACTGCAGCTGGTGGGCAGTATTCTAGGAGGGGCTGCCCTCAGCCCCTGGGGGTGGACTGGGAGGCAGGAGATGGGAGGAAGGGGACCTGGGTTCCAGCTCCAACTCTGCTACAGTTTTGCTCTTCAGCCTTGGGTAGGTCATATCTCCCCTCAGAGCCTCAGTTTCCCCAACAGTCACATGTGGGGAGCCCAGGTCCCATTCTCTTAAATGACCTGTGTGGAGTGGAGCTGCACTCCCTTAACAGAAAACCTAATGTGGCTCCCCATTGCCCATAGTCTTGGAGCCCTGCCTGCCCTCCACACCTGTGTACCAGGGGCCCTGCCCACCACTCCAGCCTCATCATCCCTTCCCTGAACCTGCCATGCACCTTCACCCCTCTGGGCTTTTGTATATGCTGTTCCCTCTGCCTGGAATACTTTCTCTTGCTTTCACTGCCTGGCAAACCCCAAAGTTTGGCTTTTATCACCTCCTCCATGAAGCCTGCTCCCTCCTGCTAGTTACCTCTGTGGTGTGTCCCTGCACCCTACCCCTTGGGTATTCTGTGATCTACATTGGGAGCAACAGCTAGCCTCCCAGCTGGGGGTGGGGCGCGGATTGAGAGGGGAGTGTTTGCAGACCAGCCCAGGCTTTGGAGTCAGTCTGGATTTCAATCCAGCGCTGCGGCGACACACTCGCCTGTGTGACCTCAGGCAGGTCGCCCCACCAATCTAAGCCTCAGTTTCCCCATCCCTGAGTTGGGGCTCATTATCACTAAACAGAATTCTCATGATTTTTTAAGGACATCAGCGACAGAAGCAGAGAGTCTATGTGAAAGAGGTTTGGGGTGGGATAGAGTTAGAGTTTTCAGAGCTCATTGCTTCCCTTGCCTTTATCGAAGAATGTGGAGGTATAGGGGGAGCCGAGACCCCTGTTCCCTGTAGTGTAGGGAAGGGCGAGGCGTATAATAGGTGCTCACGTTCAGAGTAGGAATTCCTTAACGATTGAATGAATGAGTGGATGAATGAATGAGTGAATGAAACGAGGCAACCAGTTTCTGAATTTGGACACACCTTTTTGCCAGACCTTGTCTGTGCACCTGGTCCGGGGACGGTGGCCGAGGCGAGAAGTCCCGCCCCCAGGAGCCCCGCCCCCGGAGGAGCCCCGCCCCGGGGCCGGAGCCCCGCCCGTCTCCTAGCAACTGTCAAACATAATTGCGCAGCGGCGTCCGGCTCCGGTGGGCAGATTGCGTCCTTGGAGCCTTCTCGCCTGGGGGCCGTGACGCCTAGGCTGCTAGCCAACGCCTTCCCTCGCAGGTACCGAAGGTCCCTCTCTACCTGCCGCTCCAGCTGGGCATCCCGTTCTAAACAAAACGTTAGCCCGGGTTCCTCCTCCATGGACCCTGAGCTTGTGTCCTGAACCCAGCACTCAGGGCCCATTCGTGCCTTGTCTCGGGGGGGGGGCAGGTTCTCGCCCTTTTTGACCTCACCAGACTCTTGCACGTGCTGTCCCCTTGCCCGGTTTGCCTGTCCCCACATTGCAAACTCATCCTGGGCTTTGGCGCTGCCCTCACCCTGAGGCCTCCCCTAGTGGAAGCACAGGGTTTTTTCCCAACTTTGCGGTTTTTGGGTAATTGCGCTTACCCGGAGCTGGCATTCCAGAGTGCCAATGATTGACTCGTGAAAGGAGGAGCAGCTGGGGCTGGGGGAGGATAGAGACTCAAGTTGGAGAAACGGGTTGCTTGTTATCATGATTACTGCAAGCCACCATTCTCTGTGGTTCATTGTTGAGTGCCTAATACATGCCAGGCAGTGTCTGAGGCCTTGGCTGTTCAAACCAGGACGGGAGAGGGGAAGGGTGGGTCATCCTGAAAGAGGCAGGGCTTACCTCTTGGGAACAGAGGGAGGTGACAGCAGCGCCTTTATTTTCTTGCAGCCAGGAGTGCCACGCCCGTGGGTGCTCTGCAGAATGTCGCTGCGTGCCTGGGAGTGGGAGGGTGAGGACAGGGTGAGCATGGGGCCCATGTCCTCCATGGCCAGCTTTTACCAGTCTGGGAGTGAGTGTGGTATGGAGGAGTACCTGAAGGTCAAAGCCCAAGCCCAGGAGTCAGACTCTGAGCACCCATGCAGCAGCGAGTCCTCATATGGGCCTGCCAGCACCTTCAACTCCGATGTGCCCCAGATTGTCCCCTGCAAATTCATCATCTCACTGGCCTTCGCAGTGAACACTGGTAAGTGCTGGAGCAGAATCCCAACACTCTCCACAAAATGGGGTACGCTAATGACCTTCTCCCAGAAGTTTGGGGCACCTGAGCTCCCTCCACTGGCTTCCCCAAGTGAGGTGGCCAGTGCTGGCAGCAGAGGTCAGGAAGGAAACTGCAATTTTAGGAAACTGCTACTGGGATACACCGGCTCCCAAAAGGTCCCATCAATAAGGGCCGGTTAGGGACACGCCCCTCTATCAATAAGGGCCAGTTAGGGACACCCCCCTCCATCAATAAGGGCCAGTTAGGGACACCCCCCTCCATCAATAAGGGCCAGTTAGGGACACCCCCCTCCATCAATAAGGGCCGGTTAGGGACACCCCCTCCCCTGCACAAGAGCAGGCCTCTGGCTCCTTGGGACCCCTGCTGGCCCGAGGCTGGTTTCCCTCCAAAGGGTCCTTGGTCACACTACCACGCCGGGCAGTTTCCTTCCTTAAAATTTACAATTTTAGGCTCCAAAACTGCAAGGAAACCCCCACTGTGGGCCAAGCAAGGGAGTGATTAAATAGGCTTCACCTGCTTAATCCTCTCAACAACCCTAAAAAGCAGGTGGTATTATTTCTGCTTTTTGTGGATGAGTAAATGAGAAAGCGGTTACAGCATGGGTTCTCATAATCTGGCTGTGCATCACCAAATTCCTTGTTTAAATTCTCAGATGTATTGAATGAAAATCTCTGAGTGTATAGGTATATCAATTACCTGTTGCCCCCCAAATTCTGTGTAACAAACCCAAACAGCTCCCCAAGTCAGGGGCTTCAAACTGGATTCCCTTGTTCTCCTGGATAAGCAGGTCAGCGGCTCCAGGCTAGGGTCCCTGCGGTGGCTCTGCTCTGCTCCCCGTGTCTCTCATCCTCCTCCTGGACACGTGGGTCAGCCAGAGACATTCTTGTTACAGAAAGGCAGAGACACATGAGAGGGCAAGCCCAGACAACGCAGAACTCTTCGAGTCTTTGGGCACCTCCCACCTGCTCACATTTTTTTGGCCAAAGGGAGTCACAAGATTGAACCTCTAAGATTAGGGGCAGAGAAAAGAACTCCACTTTTGATATATATCTATTTTTGTCTACTTGCACTAACCCCCCTGAAGATTAATTTCAGCTTCTCCTTGTAGTTCTATCCATTCTTGCCTCAGATATTTTGGAGGCTCTTTGGTTAGATGTATATATACCATGTTTAGAATTAACCCGTCTTCTTGGTGACTTGAACTGTTTTTACTGCCAAGACCACGGGGAGGCAGGTGAAGCGCCACAGGTGAAAAATGTAAGGAGGCGCTCCCTCTCAGCATCATGCAGTGAATTTCTGCTCCCTGTTACTCCACTGGCTAGGGGGCCTGGACCTGCATCTTAGCCCCAAGTGGGGCAGACAGCATGGGGGTGGGCGGCCTCCCACAGCATCAGGCTCTTTTTTGGTTCCAGGGAACTGTGGAGACGGGTGTGCTTTCCCATGTGAGGTTCAAACAAGACTATTAAATCCATGTCTTCTAGGTTATAAAGGAAAATATACAATATTGATGGAAAAATATAGGAAACACCCTAAAATGGACAAACCTGTTGCAAAGGTTCGCCGTTACTACCACATTGAGTATTTCCTTCTGCCTGATGATGCGGAGCCTAAAAAAGTTGACATGGTAGTGTTTCCAATGGTGGCCAAAGTGTTCCTGGATTCAGGAGTAAAGGTGTGTGTGTGTGTGTACACCTCACATACAGTCTAATACTACAGAAAGTGTGCTTGTTTCCCTTGGAGCTTGCTACCAAAGGGATGTGTGTGTGTGTGTGTGTGTGTACACCTCACATACAGTCTAATACTACAGAAAGTATGCTTGCTTCCCTTGGAGCTTGCTACCAAAGGGGTGTGTGTGTGTGTGTGTGTGTGTGTGTGTGTGTGTACACCTCACATACAGTCTAATACTACAGAAAGTGTGTTTGCTTCCCTTGGAGCTTGCTAGAAATGCAGGATATTGGGTTCCACCCCAGACCTACTGAATGAGAATCCACACTGACCTCATAATACCCATTACCAGACTATTTATATATCTTTAGTCATTTCTTTGGTGTTTCAAAAGTTTTTGCCACTCTTGTGATTTCCTTCTCTGTGTGAGTACTTGTGTGTGTCCATGTGTGTGCACACCTGCCTGCCCGCACACACACCCACCCTCCTGCCTGTGGCCTGACTCTGGGTCCGTGCTTGGAAGTTACTGGAAAGGGCATGATTGGCAGGTAATTGCTTTGACTCTGTCTTTTCCAATGAACCCAGACGTGTGATGGGGCCCCGGCCAGGACACCCATTTCCTGATGTGAGGTGGGGGCTGGGGGAGCGCCAGGCACAGAAGGCAGACAGGTGGAGAGCAGCGCCCTGGAGGACGAGGCTGGTGGGCGTAACCTCAGGCTGCTAAGCCTCCCAGTCCTGCACTTAGAGCCTCTTGGTGTTCTTTTACACAGACAGTGAGGCCGTGGCACGAAGGGGACAAAGTCTGGGTGTCATGGACCCAAACTTTTAACATCAACGTGACGAAGGAATTACTAAAGAAAATTAATTTTCACAAAATAACCTTGAAGGTCTGGGACACTAAGGACAAGGTTTCGAGAAAAGTCAGGTATTATCGGTTAAAGAATACTGGGTATTCAGAAGATACAGGATCTTTCGGTAAGTCATGTATTTGTGTTTTGTTTGAAACGTTTCTCGAGGCGTGTGACTTCTCACCGGTAACAGAATCAAAACCAGTGTCCCCTCCTTTACTTCATCTCACTTTCCCAGGGCACATGTGGCTTTGGGTGTCAGTGGTGCGTCATCCCTCCAGGACAAGCTTGAGCATCAGGAAGTACTGCCCCCTGGAGTTGTGTCTGTGTGCATATGCGTTGGTCACCACCTCTACCTCCATCACATTTCTGGACTTCCTGTCCCCAGGCAGCACCCACATGTGCATTCCCCACCGGCCTGTCTCCTGGCTGAGTATTTGGTGTTCACTGACAAAAAAACACCAGGAAACAAGAGAAAACTTAAGAATCTCATGACCCTGAGACCACCATATTAGTCTTTTCATATAGACCCTCGAGATTCTTATTCTCACAAACGGGATAGGGGCAGAGGGAGAGGGAGAAGCAGGTTCCCCACTGAGCAGGGAGCCCGACGCAGGGCTCTATCCCAGGACCCTGAGACCATGACCCGAGCTGAAGGCAGATGCCAACTGACTGAACCATCCAGGCGCCCCTGGGTAAATATTTTTTTATAAATAATTTTTTATTGTTATGTTAATCACCACACATTACATCATTAGTTTTTGATGTAGTGTTCCATGATTCATTGTTTGTGCATAACAGCCCCTGGGTAAATATTTTATCAATGCCAGAAAGTCTCCTTTTGAGCTCACCTCCAAGGAGAGAGCTAGTAGGACTGGAAAGATCCAGGCTTTGAAGTCAGCCAGCTCAATTCAACCTGTCTCCCATCTTGAACTAGCCAATGACCTTGGGCACCTTCCCACTTCCTCTGCTTATATGCCCCGAGGCAGGGTGATGGGAATGCACCGCTCCCCCCAGCAATAAAGAGAGTGTGTGTTGTCTATATTTAAAAACTAAAATGCTGCCATAAACTATGCTGTGGGGTTAATTGTAAGATGCATCCAGTTTTTAGAGACATCAAAATGTCATGGGGATGTGCATCCGAGAATGGAAGGAGGATGTACTATTATCACTGTTGTTGGTGGCTCCAGATAAGTATAGTTACCCCCATTTTACAGTGAGCAAAGGAGACTGACACCAGCTTCAAGTGTGTGACAGCGCCAGAATCAGAACCCATTTTTTGGTGACTAGAAACCCTCTGCTTTCTCTGGCTTTCTAGCCTGCCTTCTTGGGGAGCCTTTCTGGCACCGGGGACTTGGCACTTCTGACTGTTCATCTTTCACTTACATCTGGGGTTTCTTACCCTAGGTGCTGTTGGCATTTTGGATCAGATCATTTCTTTTTGTGGGAGCTGTCCTGGGCACTGTAGGATGCTCAGCAGCATCCATGACCTCCACCTGCTGGATGCCTGTAGTAGCCTCCCAGTTGTGACAACCAAAATTTTCTTCAGACATTGCCAAAGGTCTCTTGGGGAGGGGAGCAGAATCACCCCTGGCTGAGAATCATTGGTTTATATCTAAACTACTCATTGTAGGGTTTCTGTGTGAGAAAATGGGATTCAAGGTGACTTTTCTTGCTTGGACCAAATGAAAGACCCACATCTTCAAAGCATGGGGTTCAAAACCACCTGCATTAGATGCATTTGGAGGGCTGCCCAAATGCAGATTCCAGGGCCTGCCCCAGAGCTGTTGAGCCAGAATTTCTGGTAAACATCTGCCCTGAAGTGAGCTCACATTGGAGCAGGGGTGCTGGGGCAGGTGTAGCAGGAAGGATTCCTGGAGAAGGGGCCAGGGGAGGCAAGTGTGGAAGGGTAAATGGAGTCAGCTGGCCAGAAAAGGGAGGAGGAAGGGTGTTCTAGACCCTGCAGGGAGGGCCATGGGCCTTTGTGAGTGTTCTTGAAATGATAGCACTTGCCCCTCCCCAAGCCCCATCTCACGCCTGACATCACTGCCTCTTATGTTAAATCATTTCTTTCCATAAGCAGTGTATGTTCACTATGTAAAACAATTTAGAAATTGACTAGCATATGGGCGCCTGGGTGGCTCAGTCGGTTGGGTGTCCAACTCGTGATTTCTGCTCAGGTTGGGATCTCGGAGTCGTGGGATGATGGTCTCAGTGGGGAGTTGGCTTTTCTCCCTCTGCCCCTCCCCACGCATGTTCTCTCCTTCTGAAATAAATAATCTAAAAAAAAAATTGACGAGGACAAGGGAGAAAGAAATAAGATCACATGATGCTTGACCAGAGGTAGTCATTGCTATCATTTCCCTGTGCATTTTATATGTAAGTAGAAAGAATATTTTAATGAAAATGCATCTGGTGTACATGTTGTCTTAAGTCCTGCCTTTTTTCACCTTAAAAGCTATCTTCTTGAAACTCTTGTCTGTGGGAGGGCAGAAACAGCATGAGAGGTTTGGCTCATGTTCCAAAGAGGATGGGAAATGTATTTGGGTGAACCATAGGTCCCATGCCCAGAACTGGTTAGTTTTTAGCCTGCTGGTCTTGAATGGAACATCCCATCAAAAGTCAGCATTTTTCCTCTATTAAATCTGCTTGGCTTCTTGGTTTCTCAGTTACTGGACAAAGACTGCACCATTCATGAAGCCCTAAGTCATATGTGACCCCGGCTAAGCCCTTAGCTCTTGGCCGTCACTCCACCCAACACCTGGTTGGTGTCCCTGCCTGTGTGGTGTCCTTTGGGACTCCCTGCCCCTCCGCTGGCTCCTCCCTCTGCATCCAGGTCTCTTCCCCATCTCCTCTCTCCTACCACTGTTCCCTGACTGGTCTATAGCCCTGCTTTGACCTTAGCACTTCATTGCTCTGAACCTTTTTATGGCTGCCCAGTGGCTTAGGGAACCAGGTCCGTCTTCTGAGTCTGGTCTTGAAGGCATCCTCTAATTTGTTCCCCAAGCCTCTTTTCTCACTGCTATTCTCACCTTCACTCCTGGCCCCTGAAAACACTAGGGTTTTCCCCGTTGTGAGACCTGCCTTCAGCTATGGGGCCCTACCTCGTGGGCTCTTAGCCTCATCTCTTTCTCCACAATTGGTACCTGTCCTTCAACAGTGAATCCAGTTGCATCTCTTCTTTTCTTCACTTCTTTCTTGTAGCTTCCATTAGCTGCATTCATTGTTCCTCACATGTTGGTTGCGGCCACAAGCATACAGAGTCCCGTATTGATAGGAAGTGAAAGATGGAGGGCTCATCTCCCTAGCTGGCTGCAAGGAGCCCTGGGGGGTAGTTCTGGCTTAATAAGTACCAGCTCTCTGACCACAGGAAAGTTATGTGTCATACTCCCCATCTGTAAACTAGGGGAAGTGGGAGTGCCTTCCTTCAAGTGAAGTGCGACGATTAAATGGAAGGACGCATGTCAAGTACGTAATGGTCTTATTTGGAAGAAGCCATTGCCAGTTGAGGTTTGGATTTCCTGATATTTTGAAGCAGTGCCTAGACAACTGCTCCTGGAGGGCAGGGGCCCTGCCTGTCTTATCCACCTGCTTCATCTACAGCACTAGGAGAGTGCCGTACACATAGAAGGTGTTTGGTAAGCATTTCTGATTGAGTCAATGGTTCTCCTACATTCTAGAGGAAGTGAAAAATTTGGTTTTAAATCAGAGAAGATTATCTGCACAGGCCCCACACATCAAAGAGGAGTGGAACCAGGAGGATGCGCCAGAAAAAGCAGGAAAACACATCAAGTCTTTGCATGGTGAGTGGACATGACTTTGTGGACAAGCTGGGGGAAGTCGATGGCAGGGAAGGGGATAGATGGGTGTTGCTGGCATCGTGCATGGACACTGGGATCCTTTCTGTGTATCAGCAACTCCTGCTGGTGCTGGTTCACTCTAGAACCCAGTGCTGTTTCAGCGTGGGGATCACTTTTTGTTGTTGATCCCTTTTTTTTGTTTAATTTTTATTTCATGACTTACAAAACTTTTCTAACTATAGAAGTTATATATGTGTGTGTGTTTTTTTTTTTTTTTTTTAGAAAAGTCAGTGAATATAGAAAGTATAAAACAAGCAGGGAAATCAATCTGTAGTTCTATCACCAGGAACAAGCATTGTAATTTTTTGGTTATCATGGCAAATTCCTTTGTTGTAAGATTTTTTTTTACATAGATAGGGTTGTTCTGGATACATAATTTTGTATTCTGAGATTAACATGTCCCTACATGCACTTTCCTATTTACTTAAGAACTTTGCATAAACTCTATTTGTAGCGACTACATAACTTTTCATCTGCTGCTAGCACTGTAACATTCCCTGTAGGTGGGGATGTAAGGATCTTGGGAGTGTTACCAGTATCCTCTAATGTAAACAGTGTTGAATTGGACAACTGAATAGATAATAGACTTTTTTTTCCTTTCTTTTTTTTTCCCCTCTGTGGGATATTATATAAGAAGTTGGAGGCTCCCTCTTGTCTCCATTTGTCCAAATAATCCTAATGTCTGTATATTCATTCATTTACTCGTTTATTATTAACCAGCCTTTTTATGCTCACCACACACCCATCCCTCTGCTTGGTGACTGCCATTACAAAATGGGTAAAGGGCCCTCATTTCTTAATGAACTAGAGTGGAACAGGAAGTCCATTTGCTAATAAATATTATCAGATTCTCACCCAGCAGAGTCTGAAACTTTTCCCAAGATCTCCGAGGAATATGAAAAGATACCCAGAATGGAAGATCTTGCCACAGTTCGGTAAGGATGGACCCATGTTATTTTAGGGAGTGGGAGTGGAACCCCCTCTTGTACAAGCCGTACAGACTCTCACCAGGAGTCATGTGGATTTTTAGTAACTTAGAGCTCATGCAATCCAGGTGAAATTAAAGGAATAGAGAAAGGAATGCTGTGTTTATGAGTGCAAACATGCACTGTGCTTTTGCACTTGTTTATCTCAATCCTCATCATGGTCAGTCTGTGAGGTGGTATTACTATCTGTTTTCTTCACAACATAACAGAGTGGTTAGTGATTTGCTCAAAGTTTTAAAACTGGAATTCTTGGGAATCTTGGGAGTGTTGGTAAAGCCAGGACTCCAGCCCATATCTTCAGATCACTAAGTCCACAGCGTTTCCTGCTGTGAGTGCAGTTGCTCTTAGAGCCTAAGAAGGGTCTGGAGATTCCTTGGATGCTGTGGGGACCAGAGGTAGAATGGAGGCCCAGCTGGTGGCTTGGGAGAATGGGATGGGGAGAACAAAGGGACTATGTCCTTAAAAAATCTTGACTTTTAAAAAATTGTTTTTTGTGTTGAATTTATGCACTAATTTGAGAAGAATTGTCATTTTTACATTGTGAGCCTCTCCCATCCATGATTATGGTATATCTTTTCATCTAATTCAGCTCCTCCTTTATGATTTTTAATAGAGTTAATTTTTTTTTTCCTATAGATGTTGGATAATTCCTGTAAATGAACTCCTGGATATTTTAGAGTTTTGACTGCTTTCATAAAAATATATTATTTTCCATAATATTTCTAGTCAGTTAGAAATTGGTAGTAAAAGTGTGGTGTGCCGAGCAACAGCATTGGCATTACTGGGAACTTGTTAGAAATGTGGAACGTCAGATCCACCCCAGGCTTACTGAACCATACCTGCATTTTATTTAACAGCATTTCCAGGGGATTCATATGCACATTGAAATTTAAGAAGCATTGGTTAGAGGAATGCAATGTCATTTTTAAAAAATCTGCTCACAGGACGCCTGAGTGGCACAAATCGGTTAAGCGTCTGCCTTCGGCTCAAGGCATGATCCCAGGGTCCTGGGATCGAGCCCCACAACAGGCTTCTTGCTCAGCGGGGAGTCTGCTTCTCCCTTTGCCTGTCACTCCCCCTGCTTGTGCTCTTCCTCTCTGACAAATAAATAAATAAAATCTGAAATAAATAAAAATCTCACATTTGGTGCAGTAAATAGATTCTTAGATTTGGTCCCCGATTTTTTTCACCTTCATTTATTTTTCTCTCTGTGTATTTTCTAGATGGAGTATTTCAAGAGAAACAGCTCTTTCTTTGGGAGCAGCATCTGGGATGGAGATGAAGGAATTAACTGAGAGATCATCATTTAACAGCTTAAACATGTTAGAAAAGCAAAAATTTCAAGGTAAGTTAGGATGGGATTTTGGAATTTTATAATATGACTAGACTTAGAAGAATTATGAAATATTTCAAATTCAGAATACTTCAGAAAGTTTCTTTGATATCTGGCCAAATGTTAACTTGAAAGTAAAAGAACCCTACATACACTTTCAGCCCACCCATTGTCTCGCCTCATCCAGCTGTTCGATCCCACCTCATCCCATTCGCTAACCCACATCATCCCACCCATCCGCACAACATCCCTTCCCACTCCACCAGTGTTTCCATGCTCCTGACTCATGATGTCGTGAACATGGGGGGCATGAAAATCCCTAATGTTGACTGTAGACTTTCAAATAAATAACTACATTCCTATGTGATAGATGCTGTGGTAGGGTAGGTAGGTATGTTGGGGAAGCACAAAAGAGTCGGGTTTATGGAAAGACCCCCGGAAGATAAGAAGTTATTTGCTTCTCATGGTGGAACGAGGGAAATAGCATCCCAGGTCGCAGGAACCACTCATGCAGAAGCTTATAGTCTTAGGGACAGACCGAGAGGCAAGGGTCCTCAGAAGCCACTACATTGACCTCTTCATTCTTGACCTTGTTCTCCTCACCAGTTTTTCAGCAAGCAGTTAGGTTTCCAGTATGAGGTGGAATATTCTAGAGCCCTTGCACTTGCTGCCTCCTGGGATGGTCCACTTCCTGTTTGTACAGCTGTAACTGCTACAAATCATTTCCTTAACTCTCTATCAGTTAATCTGCTTTTCCTGGTTCGAGTTCACTCCAAAGCTGCGGAGAGAAGTGACTGCTTGAGGCAGGCTCTCTGCCAGGCGTCGGAAATACAGTTGCTCACATTCCTTTTTTAAGGCCCTAAAAGACTAGTCCACACTTTCATATCTGAACACCATCGACTTTTTCTGAGTTTTCTCTTTTCCAGATTAAATAGCCTCGCTTTTCAGAAATACTCTTTAAGCATTTTAATGAGAATTTCAAACCATCTTTTTTATTTTGAAAAAAAAATAGAGTACACACAAAAAATAAACAGTGTATGTACAATTTAGGTGTTAATATTTTGCCACATTTCCTTAATTTCTTTCTTGCTCTTTCCTTCTTTTTCCTTGCTCTGTCCTCTCCTTTCTTTCTTCCTTTGTTTCTTTCCTTCCTTCCTTCATTCCTCCCTCTCTCCATCCCTCTCATCCTCCCTTCCTTCTTTCTTTTTGAAAAGAAAAGCTTACAGGGCGCCTGGGTGGCTCAGTTCGTTGGGCAACTGCCTTCAGCTCAGGTCATGATCCTGGAGTCCCGGGATCGAGTCCCGCATCAGGCTCCCTGCTCAGCAGGGGGTCTGCTTCTCCCTCTGACCCTCCCCCCTCTCATGTGCTCTCTCTCTCTCTCTCATTCTATCTCTCAAATAAATAAATAAAATCTTTAAAAAAAGAGAGAGAGAAGTTTACAGATACAGGGTGTCTCTTTTGTACACTGTGCTTTTAAGAAGCATACCCTAGGGACGCCTGGGTGGCTCAGTCAGTTAAGCATCTGCCTTTGGTTCAGGTCGAGATCCCTGGGTCCTGGGATTGAGCCCCGAATCGGGCTCCCTGCTTAGGCCGAAATCTGCTTCCTCCCCCCTACTTGTGTTCTCTCTCTTTTTCTCTCAAATAAATAAATAAAATCTTAAAAAAAAAAGCATACCCTATCCTACATAGAAATTGGTGTGACCCTTCCCTGCCATCCCATTCTTTCTGACACATTCATACAATGTCATGTTGATTTTTGTTTTTATGAGTTACAGAAATGATTTCATACTGTACATATCTTCCTGCAACTTGCTCTTTGCATTCAGCTTGATTTTTAAAGTTCATTTGTGTCCATATATGTAAGTCCAGCTCCTTCCTTGTAACATAGCCCCATCAGATGGCTATGCCATCCTTCACCCGTGGACTCCCCACCGAGGGACATTTGAGTTGTCTCCAATTTCCCACTGTCACCAACACTGTGATAGCAAGCATTCTTGTGCAGGTCTCTGTGTGCCTGTGCCAGAGAGTCTAGGGCATTTGCCCAGTGGGTCATAGGGCATGCGAAATGCACCTTGACCCCTCAGGAGGTATTGCTGGTTTTTACTCTCTGGATTGTACCTCTTTGCCCTCCTGACAGAAGTCCTGAGAATTCCAGCTTTTCCACATTATCAGCCATGCTTGACATGGTCAGGGGCTTACTTCCTAATTCCTCATGGGGTTGATAGCATCTCATACGCTTATTTGGTCACAGTCTTATGTGATTTACCTATTCCTGTTCCTTTGCTTATTTTTCTGTTGGGTCTTACGCTTTTTTTTATTTTTTGAAAGATTTTATTTGTCAGAGAGAAACAGGGAGAGAGTGAGCGCAAGCAGGGGGAGTGGCAGGCAGAGGGAGCCCTGTGTGGAACTAGGTCCCAGGACCCCGGGATCATGACCTGAGCTGAAGGCAGACGCTTAACAGACTGAGCCACCCAGGCATTCCATTACACTTTTTTTTTTTTTAAGATTTTATGTATTTGAGAGAGAAAGAGCATGAGTGGTGGAGAGGAGCAGAGGGAGAGGGAGAAACAGACTCCCCACTGAGCAGGGAGCCTGAATTGGGGGCTTAGGGCTCGATTCCAGGATCCCAATATCATGACCTGAGCTGAAGGCAGATGCATAACCGACTAAGCCACCCAGGCACCCCTGAGTTTTACATTTTTTCTTACTGATCCATAAGCTTTATTCTTTAAATCTTCTGGATAATTATCATGGTTACTTACATGCACTGTAAACATCACAGGCCAGGGTCTGTAACTTACCCTTTTACTTTATTTGTGCTGTCTTGTTTTGCATACCAGTTATGTAACTATTCCTTTCTAGTTTGTATTTTTGGTAATGTTTAAGAAATCCTCCTCATCTGGACATCGGTAGAGTCTCCTATACTTCAATTATTTTGAAGTTTTTTTGTTTTGCACCATTAGTCTGCCTTCCATTTTGCATATGGCACGAGGTGCCCAATAATTTCATTTGCCTCCAAATGGATAGTCAGTATAACTAATTGACTAGTCTATCCTTTCCCACTGATCTGAAAGGCCTGATATCTGTTAAGTCCCCTTATACATACAGTGTATTTCTGGGCTTTCTATAGTCTGTTCCATTGGTCTTTGTATCACAGAACCAATAGTTCATGGCTTCAATTACGTTAGATATATATGTCTCCTCTTTTCCCCCCTGGATCTGAGCTCAGCACAGAGCTGAATATTTTATGTGCCTTTGCTCATTTACTCTTCTCAACACCCTACAAGGAAGGTGCTATTGCCCCCATTCTACAGATGAAGTGATTGAGGCTCAGGATGGTTAGGAGGGGGGAGACCTGGTTCTGGAACCTTGGTGGTTCAACTCCAAAGCCCAAACTTCAGCCCTACACTGTGGTTAAGAGCTGACTTGGGGGAGAAATTTGGTATATGGAGGTGCTGATCATCATCCAACCTCAGCCCCCTCTGCCCGTGTTCTCGGGTCGGACCGAGTCGGGGATCAGGATGGCCCTCACGTTCTTCCTGCGTGTAACTGACAGTCGGTCTGCTCTCTACACATAGACACATTTTCTGGTTGCTGGGGAAGGGCAGCAGCACAAAGGACAACCTCTGCCTTCAAGGATTTTCCAGAATCTTGTATGTGTGCATGTATGCTTTCACATATGGTAGCTTGGATATGAGCTCCTTTGAATGCTTATGTCCTTCCTTTGATTTCACAGTTAAACAGAAAGACTCAGAGGGGAGAAAGAAGAGCCAGAAGAAAAGGAAGAAATCTCGAGCAGAAGAGGAAACTGACCTCAAGGTGGAAGGAAATTGGAAGCATGGTACCTTCTCCACTGAGCTGGTGGTGACGCCGCTCCTTGCAGGTGGCTACCCCTGGTCCCCACAGGTTCTGGTTGTCTTGTCCTATGTGGCTTGAATGTCCATAAACAGGATGCTCGCGTTGGCCAAGCCTCTGTTCTGCCACCGAGCTTCACACTCACAGTCACTTCAGCAAAAGTGCCGGTAAGCCTCTCTGTTGTACGGAGGAGGAGAAGGAGGCACAGGGAGCTCAGATGTACTGTTCCAGATCACACAGCAAGTAAGGGCGAGGCCAGGGTTTGAACTTGGGCCTGATTCCAAAGAAACCTGTGAGAATAGTTGTGCTGATTTTGTTTGCTAAATAAGATGCTGCTTTTTAGAAACCCCGTCCTACAGATTTTTACGAAAACATCTAGTAGAGGAAATGAGGGAAGGAGCCGGTATTTCTGTCCCGTCCTTTATTGCTCATGGCAAACTCTGAGCCTCCCAGTGAGCTTGGAGGGGGGCTGAGGGGCGCCTGTCCTTTGTCCTGTGAGGAATCAAAACTCGGAGAAGGCAAAGCAACTCACTTGAGGTCACATAGCTCAGGGGCAGAACAGGGGTTTCATTCTCTTGCTTTGTAAGATCTATCACACTTTGGAAACTAGATTTTCTACGGTTTGACAAATAATAAGAAGGTATGCCTGTTATATCCCTAGGTTTTGACAAGGGAAAGCTCAGAATATATTTTGGGTAAAATTATATGACTTTATTTTTAAAATAGTAACATGGAGGGGAAACCCTCTTTTCCGAGAAAATCATTTCAAGCCTATTTCATTGTAGGCGGGTTTTTTTTTTTTTTTTTTTTAAATCCATCCAGCCACTCTGTGCGCCCTCCACTGGCCAGTCTGCAGAAATCTAGGCTACGATCTTGAGCTGGAACGAGCCCTTGCAGTGGCTTGAGGTTTTACCCCATGAAAG